TAGCTCGGTGTCTAAATTGTCAGCAAGTCAAGTACGAGCATCAGAGACCTGGTAGTTTGCTTCAGAAGTTAGAAATTCCTGAGTGGAAGTGGGAGGGTATCATTATGGATTTTGTTGTTGGACTCCCACGAACTCAGAGAAAATTTGACGTAGTTTGAGTCATTATGTATAGGTTGACCAAGTCAGCACATTTTATTCCAGTGGCAGTTACCTATTCTTCAGAGAGGTTAGCTGAAATTTACATTCGTGAGTTGTCCGCCTTCACGGTGTGTCCGTGTCTATTATTTCAGATCGAGGTACGCAGTTTACCTCACACTTCTGGAGGGCTGTACAGCGTGAGCTAGGCACGCGGGTTTAGTTGAGTACAACATTTCATCCACAGACAGACGGACAGTCAGAGCGCACCATTCAGATATTGGAAGATATGCTTCGCGCTTGTGTTATAGACTTTGGAGGTTCTTGAGATCAATTCCTGCCACTTGCGGAGTTTGCTTATAATAATAGCTACCAGTCGAATATTTAGATGACTCCATATAAGGCATTTATACGGAAGGCGATGTCGTTCGCCAGTTGGATGGTTTGGACCGGGAGAGGCTCGGTTGTTGGGTACCGATTTGGTACAGGATGCCTTGGATAAGGTCAAGGTTATTCAGGATCGACTTTGCACAGCTCAGTCTAGGCAAAAGAGTTATGCCGACCGTAAAGTTTGTGATATTGCATTCATGGTTGGAGAAAGAATATTGCTCTGGGTTTTACCTATGAAAGGTTTAATGAGGTTCGGAAAGAAGGGCAAGTTGAGCCCTAGGTATATCGGACCCTTTGAAATTCTTGAAACGGTAGGTGAAGTAGCCTACATGCTTACATTACCACCTAGTTTATCAGCAGTTCATCCGGTGTTCCATGTGTCTATGCTCTGGAAATATTATGGTAATTCGTCCCATGTGTTTGATTTCAGCTCAGTCCGATTGGACAAAGATTTGACTTATGAGGAGGAGCCGGTAGTTATTCTAGCCTGGCAGGTCCGGCAGTTGAGGTCTAAGAGTTATCCTTCAGTTCAGGTGCAATGGAGAGGTCAGACGGTAGAGGCATCTACCTAGGAGTCCGAGTCGGACATGCGGAGTAAATATCCATACTTATTTACCAGCTCAGGTACTTTTTCTAACTCCGTTCGAGGACGAACGCTTGTTTTAGAGGTGGAGAATGCTATGATCCAAAATGTCATCTTTAAATTTAATAATTATCTATATGTTCTAAGACCTCGAAAAGTACTATTTATTATTCATCGACTTGCGTGCCCAGTCCGTATAATTTTCCGAAAAGTTTTTATATAAAAAAATGATTAAAATGTGAAATAGAGCCTTAAAACTCAATTGAGTTGACTTTGGTCAATATTTTGAGCAAACGTAGCCGAATCAGTGTTTTAACAGTTCTGGTAGGTCTGTATCGTAATTTGGGACTTGGGCGTATGCCCGAAATTTAATTTTGAGGTCCCTAGCTCAAGTTATGATCATTTAACGGAAACTAGAAATTTAAAGGCTATCGATTTCCAAATTTGACCACGGAGTTGACTTTTTGATATCGGGGCCGGAATCCAATTCTGGAAATTTGAATAGCTCTGTTATGTCATTTATGACTTGTGTGCCAAATTTGAAGTCATTCCGGAATTAATTAAGATGCTTTGGCACGAGATTTGCAAATTGAAAAGTTTAAAACTCAAAAGTTCGAATCGAGGTGTGAATTGTAGTTTCAGCGTTATTTGATGTTATTTAAGACCCCGAGTAAGTCCGTATTATGTTATGGGACTTGTTGATATATTCTGACAGGGTCCCGATTACCCCGAGGGTGATTCAGATTGAAATATAATCAAATATGGACTTGAGGAAAAATCTGAAATTTCTGCCTCTGATGTAATCGCACCTGCGAGGGTCTTGGCCGCAGGTGCGGCAGAATTGCATAGATGCGGGACTAAGCAAGCCTGGGGTCTTCGCATGTGCGGCCATTTTGCGCAGAAGCGGATGTCGCAGGTGCGACAGGAATGCCCGCAGATGCGGAACTTCACCTGGCAGCCTGGCATCGCAAATGTGAGCCTTGTCTCGCAATTGTGAGTCCACAAATGCGGAACTTTTATCCGCAGATGCGAAAATGACTAGGCAGAGCCCATAAATTCGGAAGTCGCCATTTTTACTCATTTTTGAGTTTTAAGTCTCGGATTTGGGCGATTTCAAAGGGGATTTTTACAACTTTGAAGTGGGTAAGTGTTCTCTAACCAAAAGTGATTATATTTCATGAATCCATGTCTATATCCATCACTTATTTCGGATTTAGATGCAAGAAATTGGAATTTTTGTAAAACTTTCCAAAAACAAAAAATTAAGATTTGAAGGTCCATTTGACGTCGGAATTTGGTAATTTTTGAATGGTTGGACTCGTCTCGAAATGGGTGTTTGAATTTTGTAAGGTTTTTCGAGATTCGAGACGTGGGCCCCATTGAGGATTTTTGAGATGAATTTCGAATTTTAATCCAGAAAATTAGTAAATTCATATAGAATTAATTCTTACAATTTGTATTGAATATATTGAATTGTCTATGACTAGATTTAAGGATTTCGGATACGAATTCGCGAGGAGAAAGTTTATTGGATTCTGGAAATTTGGTTGCAAAGCGAGGTAAGTATCGTGGTTAACCTTGACTTGAGGAAATAAAACCCTTAAATTATTTGTTATGTGAAATGCATGTGAACGATGTATAGGCGAGGTGACGAGTGTCTATACGTCGTCAAATTAATTATTTGCATAACTATTTGAAAATCATAAATTGTTCTAAGACACGAATTAATTGTTGTAATAATTATTTTTCTCCTATTCTTTGTCAAATATTTATTCTTGAATTCCTGCAATAATTGTTGCATGCTTATTTGATTTATGTGTCATAATTGTTACTTGACAGTTAGCATATTAAATATTAAACTGTCTATTTTCTCCATGATTACCAAAATAAATTGCTACTTGTCATTGTCTGTTTCATAAATAAATCATAATTATTGCATGCTTGTTGTCTTATAATTTCATATTAATTGTTACATTTATTGGGGCAATTTCTTTTATAAGAATTGGTAAGTGAGTAAATATATTGGGGGATCGGGTTGTACGCCGCAACAAACTTATTAAACGTCTATATTGGGGGATCGGGTTGCACGCCGCAACAGAATTATTAAAAGTTCATATTAGGGGATCGGGTTGCATGCCGCAACAGACTTATTAAAAGTCTATATTAGGGGATCGGGTTGCACGCCGCAACAAACTTATTAAAAGTCCATATTGGGGGATCGGGTTGCATGCCGCAATAAACTTATTTAAAAGTCTATATATAATTGATTAAAATAAATATATTGGAAGATTGAAAATGAATATATTGTGGGAGCGGGTTGCACGTTGCAACGGAAATTTTTTGAAATAATAATTAGTTATGATAGCTGAGTTGGCTTCAACTATTAAAAATGAGTTACCTGATTTAATTCTATTATTGTGGTTATTACTATTATTGCGTACAGGTTAATGTAAGTGACCTGCCTTAGCTTCGTCACTATTTCGTCGAGGTTAGGCTCGACACTTACCAGTACATGGGGTCGGTCATACTGATACTACACTCTGCACTTCTTGTGTAGATTTCGGAGTTGTCCCAGCGGCGTACCATAGACTTGCTCGGATTCCAGCTACCTAGAGAAGACTTGAGGTATAACTGCACGGCGTCCGCAATTCTTGTGACGACCCGGCCGGTCGTCTTGAGAGTTATAGCCCCGATCCCCTATTTAACTGCTTCCTCCATATTATTTTCTGCTATTGTGACTTACCGGGAGGTTTCATTTTGGGTTTTGGAAGTGTTTGAGACACTTAGTCCCTAAATGGAGCTTTAAGCTTTAGGATTGGTACCGTAGTCGGAACTGTATGAAGACGACTCCAGAATGGAGTTCGGTCAGTTCCGTTAGATCCGTTTGGTGATTTTGGACTTAGGGGCGTGTCCGGATTTTATTTCGGAGGTCCGTAAATTATTTAGGCTTGAATTTGCGAAAGTTGAATTTTTGAAATTTTGGACCGGTAATGGAAATTTTGATCTCGGGGTCGGATTCCGATTCCGGAAGTTAGAGTAGGTCTGTGATGTTGATTATGACTGGTGTGCAAAATTTTTATTCATAGTACAATTGAATTGAATGTCTTTTATTAGTATTAGTATTGATTTGATTTTGGTTTAGGATTTATTTGAGTTACTAACATTTATGGACTATAAAACTTATTGGAGCATCCAAAAATTATAAGCCCAAGCTTGAAATAATACGTTAAAAGATAAAAATATAAAAAAACTTAAGAAATATTTATAAACTACACTACCATAAATATTTTTATGTACTAAATATATTTAAAACTTCTATATATATAATGTCGGGTTGGTTTGGTTTCGGTTTGATTTTTTTTATTAAAATAAAACCAAACCAAATATGATCGGGTTTTTTTGTTCCAACACCAAACCATAGTCTGATTTTTTTTTCGGTTTGACTCGGATTATCGGGTTGGCCGGTGCGATTTGTCAGTTTTCATTTATACACCCCTAATGTATAGTATGGGAAATAATCAAAAAATAAAAATAGTCCAATTTACCGTTTACTACATAAAATTTTTTATTACCCTCTGTTACGCTATGGAGCTTTTCATATTCTTATCGTTAGCAAATAGTCTCCTATTTGCCACTGACTCTAAACTCTAAAGGAATTCTATCATAGATTGACCGAATTCCCACGTGTCAAAATATTTCAGAAAAGTTTCAAATATACGCCTTTACTTTTTACTATTGTTTAAAGTTATCCTATGTTATACTTCAAGACGGAGCTTCGCTAGCTTCAAGGCAAATACAAAACCATTTTCTAGCGGCAAGGGTATAAATAACTAAAAAGTATAGTGGACGGTAAAATCAAAATATTATTACTAACAGTAAAACACTTTGCCATTCAGGGGAAAAAAAGAATAAGATGAGAATTGCCTGAAACAGAACATATTTAATTGTTGTATCAATCTTCAACTCCTCAAGCTCATACAAGTGAGACTTCCACTGCAACACAAGGTAAACGGGCGTTGCTAGAGAAGTACTTATAAAACTTGGAGTAGAATTTTTGGTAAAGGAAATGAAATAGTGTGAAATGGAACTAAGAGGACAAGTTATTGATAAAACCACTATTTCTCCACTTGGGTAGACATCCTTTCTTTTAGAAGAGCTTCCTTGACAATTGACCTTGCTGGTAACCATGATTTTGCGTGGTAATGAATACTCTAGTTATTAAACCAAAAAAAATATAAACCAGAACCTAATTAGCAAAACATGTTTCATTGCCTCTGTAATTTACTAAATATGGTCAGAGTTAATGGGTGCTTAAGCACCCACAAGTGCCCATGTGCATCCGCCACTGTCCAGTGGGATCCCACAAGTGGGGTAAGGTCTGAGTAATGTGTATACAGACCTTACCCCTACCCTTTGAGGGCAGAGAGGTTATTTTCGAAAGACCCTCAGCTCGAGAGCAAGAATAGGAACAAGTAAATAACAACAACAGGAAAATGATATCAACAATGTAAGAACCGGAGAAAAATAAATTTGGAATGAGTACTACAAAATATTGGGTTATAAAATGTTAAGCATGAAATACTAATTGATAGCTCTATGAAGTTTTTGTAAACTGCTAAGTACAACCTCTGCACATCTGGATGTTCTTTGTCAAGTTGAGCTTCTTTTGCAATGATTTCCTTTCCAAAATGCTAGAAGGGCAATATAGGATATACATGAAAAAGAAAAATTTAAAGGTAATCAACGTAAAAGGGCAGCCCGATACACTAAGCTATTGCTATGCGCGGGGTCCGGAAAAGAACCGGACCACAAGGATCTATTGTACGCAGTCTTACCCTGCATTTTGCTAAAAGTAATCAACATAAGAGGTTTGTAATTAATTATAGGTGTAACTAAGATTTTATTCTTTACCTTGTAAATTAAACCAGCACTGCTAAGCTTAGTAGTGAAGCCAAATCCAATAACTTCCTCAAATCCCTTCTGATGATGATCATATCGATCTCGACTTGGATCATAAACTCCACCAACATCAAACACAGCATCAAGCACAAAATTTTCATAGGTGGTCATTTAACTTTGTGTTTATTACCCAAAAGTCACTTTTCTTTCTTTTGTTGCGTAAGAGTCATTCAATTTTGTGTTCATTATCCAAAAGTCATTTTTTCTTCTTTTGTTACACTAAATCATTTTACTATGCTCCAGTTATCATAATAGTCACTTTAACCAGATTTTACAAACCTTTCACTTGAAAAGTCTATTATGCCCTTGAAATTATAAATCCTCTCATTTATGCAACACCTCATATATTATATGCTATATAATATATTTTTACCCAATATTTATAACCTAAATAACTTAATATTATTTTATTTATAATATATTCGTACATTTAATTTTTTTTCTTAACATTAATTTTCAACATATATAAGTAGCATTATTAAATATGTCGGTAACATTACCGTGAACAAATTTCAGGTCCACATTCTTAACCATGCTTAATGAAATATTTTAAATAAAAATTATAAAATCAAAGCTCATTGATTTATCAGCCAAGCCATACCCATTAATCCAATAAATAAAATACTTGCATTTAACACAATGACACATTGGATTAATACTTTCAAATAAATAATACTAATAGATAAAGCTTTAAAAAACTTAATTAAACACAAATATTTTTGAAACTTTTTCTAAAATTCTTATTAACTATAAAAAGCTATTATTTGTTAAACGAATCTATTTTTGTTATTTTAAATAAATATTAAATAAGTATTTTTATTGTTTTTATATAGTTCATGTTTGAATATGATTAAACATATTGAGTGCCATGAAAAAATTAAATGTATGGATATATTATAAAAATAATAAATAAAATAATTTAAAGTTATTTTAATTATAAGTAAAATACCTAAGTAAAAATATATTATTATAGTATATAGTATTTAGAAGGTGTTACATAAATGAGATGATTTATAACGTCATGGACATAATAGACTTTTCAAAGTTACTCCATTTTTATTAACATTATTGATTTTCAAAGTTACTATAGTATGTTGTAGCAAAAGAATGACATTGGAAGATCAACATCAATTTTGACTCTGTTTTGCACATAAGTAGAGTTGATAACAAAAAGATATGTACCTGAGGATCACGGGTGCGAACAACTTGTTCATCGTAAAATTTGGACCTGAGAATCATGAAGCAACCTAGAGCTTCGTCACAATGAAAGGTACCGTTGTGAGTGCCAACTCGTTTAATTCCTAATGGAGGAGAGACGACGGTAGTGGCCATTTTTTAAGAACAAATTTTGCCTTGTTATGGCTACTATTTAAATAGTAAAATTAAATTTAATAACTGTGATGTGACACAACTAATGGATACTAGTACTTATAATGGAGTGAATTGTTGGTACTATTTTCGCTTTTTGATAAGTTGAAGGACCAAGTATTAAAAATATTAGCAGAATTGATAGGTAAGATTTTGTTGCTAAACACAAAAGCAAAAGGTTAATTAGTGTGTAATCTTCTTTTAGCTAATATATATTTTATTATCGAAATAAATAGCAAAGAAAGGACACGTAGTTCCTTTTGAATTAGAATGGAGCCCCCAAACTAGCTGATCTGGTCACATTGCGAACATATTTTATGTATTTATTTATTTCACACGATTTGCTTTATTCTTTGCTAATTAATCACGTTTTTAAATCGTATTTCAGCATAAAGGCACCACGTGTAAGAATTATCATAATTCCTTAAGTTCTTCATGGAAAGATACTCTAAACTAACATTTCCGTTAGTTGATAATTGTTTTCACCTATTTTGTCAAAGAAACATTGCGGTGAGAGACAGAAAAAAGGTGATTTTAGTTTGGATTTAAAAAATAATAATTTTGGAAAACAATTGTATGTTTGAACTACTCCTACTTTTGGTAAAAAATTATGAATATTTGGGCAAATTTCGTGAAAATATGTCTTTTCTGGTTTTCCAAAAAGTAGCATTATTTTTTTTTTTGCTTCCCATCAGGTGTTTAGTATGCTTTTTGGAGCTTGGCCAATCTGAATTCACGCTATATTGATCAAATGCTCCTTACCAAAGATAACTTTATTCTCAGGGCTCGAATTTAAAAATATAGTAATATATACTCTAAACATTATAGTAATAGCGTGTGCTACCCACTTTTCAGTCATGTAATTGAAAAATAACCACAGCCATAATAAAGTATCAAGTCTCTTCAAATTTCACATGTGAAACTCTTGAAACTCTACAACGGTGGTTACTTTTCAATTATAAAAGTTGAGAAAGTGGTTATTTGTAAATAATACATTACTGATTTCTAGGTAATACATAGGCCATATATGATTTCACCAGGATCTCCCACTTTAGTTATAAAAAAATATAACCTTATAATAACTAATAATCGATCAACCAGAGATCACGTAGGTAATCATAAATAATACATAGGCGATTTCTTGATAACACATAGACAATCTATGATTTCACTAAAATCTCTCACGTTATAAAAAAAATAATCCTAATATTACCTAATAAGCGGCCAACAGGAGATTACTTAAGCGATCATAAATCATACGTGATTGATATTTAGGTAATACATAGGCGATCTATAATTTCACAAGAATTTTCCACTTTATAAGAAAATGATCCCCATAATACTAATAAGTGATAAATCAAAAATAAATTAGGCGATCACAAATAATACTGTAAGCATTTTAAATTTTATCGAATTTAAATCGATAAAATAATGTGAACTATGTTTTAAATATATTAGTCCAAATAAATTTATTGGGATAATATAATTGGATTAGTTATATAAGTCTAACATATATGGATTAAATAAATAAGTCTTAATCTATTGGGCTAGCCCATTTAATTGGGCTAAAGTTGTAATATTCCGAAAATTTTCGAAGTACTTAAGTGTAAAGCCCAGTAAAATTTACAAAAAAAAAATAATATTTCGTGGTGCCGAATTGGGCTTACGTGTTTGAGGATTTTATAAATTCGTCGAGGCGAGCTTGCTCGCCGCGGCTCGGACTTTTTGGGTTGAACAATGCACAGAAAAATAAAGAAAAATGTTTGGCAATGAAATGCGTTTCTGCTGTCCAATTATGCGACCGCAGAATTACTCTGCGGACCGCATAATGGCCGCAGAGTGAGGCAGTTAATTGGGCCAGTTGGAAGCAATTATGTGGTCGACTATGCGACCGCATAACTGTTATGCGGTGCACTATGCGATCGCATAACAGTTATGTGTACCGCATAGTGACCGCAGACATAGGCAAATTTTTTTTGGTCATTTTGGACACCAATTATGCGACTGATATGCGGTCCGTATAATCATTATGCGGTCGCATAGGCGACCGCAGAACCTGTTCCGGAGCTTCATTTTTGGGTTTTTAAAACCTGGCCCTACTTCGTTAAATACATACTTTGGATCATTTTTAAGCTATAATATGATATTTTAGAGTGAGAGAGAGTGCCCTAGAGTGAGAAGGTGTTTCTCAATAATTGATTCTTCAATTCTTGCTCAAGTTTTGGAAGATTAAGAAAGAAAACTCACTAGGTCTTCATCCTAGAGGTAAGATTCTACACCCTAACCCATAATTTCGAAATATTCTGAAAATTGGTAATTAGCAAGATAATATTTGGGCATGAGAGTTGTTTATTTTGCATGCATGTGATATCAAGGGGTGTAGGAAGATTGTTGAACTAAGCATGGTAAAGATTGGGTTGTGGGATGATGGAATCCTCCATAAAAGGACCTTGAAACCTTGTGCACACCTAATGTTTGATAAAATGCTCAAATGAGCTAGAACCATGATCATCTTCCTAATTTTGGTTCAATTTATTATATTTCTAAAATAGATTGAAGTTGCTAAGAATTCTGGAATATTTAGAGTGTAAGGAAGCTCAAGTGAGGTATGTTGGCTAAACCCTTCTTTAAGAATTGGAATTCCCATTATCCTTATAAGTTCCAAGATGTTGATTACAAATCGAGTATTCCGATAAGTCTTGTGATAAAGATATATGTTCAATTTGTATTTCAAATGCTCTTATCATATTGCATTATAAACTGGGGATGTGTTCTAAACTATGGATTGTATATCCACATGTTATAATTTCAAGTCGTGATTTACGTGAAAGTTATTATGGCAAGTTGTGTAGAGATTGTAATTGTGATACACCTCCACCCGCATATATTGGGGTGAGGCGGCATGACCGCTTTGTATGGGGATTATGGTATTGTGGGGCTGCACCTCCACCCGTATACGTTGGGGTGAGGCGGTACGACCGCTTTGTGTGTAGTTTGGTATTGTTGTGGCACCACCACCCACATATATATATATATATATATNGTGATAAAGATATATGTTCAATTTGTATTTCAAATGCTCTTATCATATTGCATTATAAACTGGGGATGTGTTCTAAACTATGGATTGTATATCCACATGTTATAATTTCAAGTCGTGATTTACGTGAAAGTTATTATGGCAAGTTGTGTAGAGATTGTAATTGTGATACACCTCCACCCGCATATATTGGGGTGAGGCGGCATGACCGCTTTGTATGGGGAT